CTGGCATTGCAGGTCCACCGCCAGGCCCTTGATGTCAGGGTGTGTGGCATATGCTAATGAGCTATGCTAATGAGTTCCCCTAGCTGTTTTTCTACGAAATGACCCCTGGTTCTAGGATCCAAGCTCTGGCCTGTTCCGCGGACCCCTGGTGGCGGTCCACGTACATAACAGAATGGATCCCAGGTGCTTCTGCCTGTCAGAGGGGCTGGTGCACACTTCCGGTGATGTCAGGGGGTGTGGCATATGCTAATAAGTTATGCTAATGAGCTCCCGCAGCTCTTTTTCTACGAAATGACCCCTGCAGGGAAGGGAGAGACATAACAGAATGGATCCCAGGTGCTTCTGCCTGTCAGAGGGGCTGGTGCACACTTCCGGTGATGTCAGGGGGTGTGGCATATGCTAATAAGTTATGCTAATGAGCTCCCGCAGCTCTTTTTCTACGAAATGACCCCTGCCCTGCACGATACAGGGAATTCACAGTTACCATAAATGTTTTAAATAAGGAAATAAAGTTGTTTTGTCCTGCAGCAGGTACTTTTGTGTTGTTATAACTGCGCACCCTAAAAAAAGGCATTATGTATGGTAGCCAACCTCCAGGTAAGGCCTAGAGACCTCAAGGTCTCCGCTCCTACAATCGTCATGGATTTTCCAACCTGGAGTTGGCAACCCTATTTGCCCTTTCCAACATGTTGCCAGGTGACCGTGTCCGTACTGCAATATACAGTGAATGGAATAGGGTTGCCAACCTTTAGGGAGTGTCTGGAGATCTCCTGGAATTACAACTAGTCTCCCGGTTACAGAGATCAGTTTCCCTGGAGAAAGTGGCTAATTTGGAGGGTGGATCCTATTGCATTATACCCCACTAAAGTTCCACCTGCAAAATCTCCAAGTATTTCCCAACCCAGAACTGGCAACCCTAGAACAGAACTAAAGATTCTTCTCTTAGGACAGAAAGAGAGCCCCACTGATAATGTGGCAGGGAAGGAGCTTTTGCCCTCTAGATGCATGAAGGGGAGAACCCAATTGTTAAAATTGCCACACGCT